AATTAGTACTATATTATTAGTTTCCTACTCTTAATTGAATTTTAACAGGAACGCTAATTTCCGTAAGAATGTCGGTAATATCTTGTCGGTGGCTCGGGTGTCAGTGTCAAGGTCTAATCCGTCTAACCAGACGGACCAGACCAGACAGGCAGACACAAATGCATGAGTTAGTGCGTGAAGAGCAGTGGAATAGTTCTCGTTTGTACTACAAACTATTTCTGAGCACACAGTAATTATTTAAAAAAAAAGTGCGTGTCATTCAACATAACTTTATGATATATCATGCATATTAAGAAACTTTGTATGATAATGTGGCGAATGGCTCTCGAACGGCAAAGCTTTGATTTACAATTGATTCCTAAATAAATGAATAATAATACTAAATGTATGATAGGAGAGAAAACATAAAACGTAATATTTTTTACTGAGTAATTAGTAGCTCGCTACGCCGTGCAGAAATTAAATTTTTTTTTGTTAATAGGCACAACGTAACCTAAAAATATAGCACAATGGTAATTATTAAATTAAATCGCACATTAAATTTCTTCTTTATTCTGCACCACATCATAAATAGTTAAATTTGTTGAAAAACTCAGATTATGCAAATTATTTAAATTTTTATCAGCAGAATGCCAGCAAATAATAGATTCTGCTAAGAATACACGAAAAGTGATGACAGAGTGATGATATATTTATTTTTAAAAATAATATTAATTTTATTTTAAAATAATAGATTCTGCTCGATCTCTTTCTGTTGATACAAGATATTAGATTATTAGACTTTAAACTGACAGACCAACAGAGTTTAATGCAAATGTAATTTTAGTCAATTTGTTTAGAATTTGTTTAGAATTCTGGCATACTACTAACATTTTACTTATTACTTACATTCCCTGTATTAAATTGAGATATCTGATTAAAACTTCAGAAGAAAAAGAGAGGAGTAAAAAATACCAGGAGTATAACTATAAAAACAAAATTTATTATCGTAATGTGTGAAGTATTGTGTAATTATATTGTGAAGTGTTAATTATTTTTACCTATTTTGAAAGATATATTTTCTGTTGTAACAATTAAAATAATTGTATATTAGTGCCCCAATAATTATAAAATACTCAATTATTATTACAATAGCTACAAAGACTACTATATTTTATATTTTGCAGAGACTGTATAGATATCATATCTTAGCATTGATTTCCGCATTGTCGTGAGATGCAGTATGTCTATTATAATTCCAATTTTTATTAAGTGGTTTTTTCACAAAACACTTGTTTTTTAATCTGTATAATCAGATTTTATATTATGTCAGATTAGAATTTTTATTATCATGCAAAGATTTAATAATTACCTAATCAGTGAACTCAATTTTTATATGATTACATCTTTTATTTGAATTCATAAAGTCTTTTGAAAGAACTAAAAAGAATTCTTTTCAGCATTGTTTTATAAAGCAGTCTAATGATTAAAATTAAATGTTTGTTACTTTATAACATTGCTTTTTGAAAATAAAATTTTTTATTAAGATAAAATTATCTGAGATAAGTCAATATTCTCTAATATTAATATATTCTTTCTTTTATATAAGTTATTGAATATTTTTTGCATAAATTCTTTTACTTTTCCATATGTAAAATTTTTCTGTAACTTGGTATAGAAATTTTTATAAAAATAACATTGACGCTTTAAATTTCGAAAGATTATCTCGAAAATACTCTCTGTAAAATAATTTTATATAAAAACTAGAAAAGAAGTTCAGATATTTCATAATTTTATTCTATTAATGTACCAATTATTTTTGTTCATAGAATGCTGTCAGGACAGTTTATTCGTAATATTCAGTTGCGTGTAACACGATATTTTACTTGTAGCAGTATTTTAGGAGAAATTAATAAAGTAGATAAAATTCCTGCACAAAAAAGCAATGAGTCTACAAAGGACAGTGTCATGGGTAAGGATAAGATAAATACTTTCTATATATAAATTAATGCTTAATAATAGAATCGATTAATCTTGTTTGTAATTAAATTTATTTTCAAGAACTATTACTTAAAAGTTTACTATTGGTAATTTGCAAATTCCTACTTAATTTGCGATTTAATTCTGAAAAAGATGTGCAATATACAAAATAAAAATATCAAAAACATATCAAAATGTAACTTCTTGTGTATGTATACATTTTATAGGTTCACGCATGCATCGGGTAACTAATTTTGACAAGAGAGTACTTGTTTGGGTAAATCGATATCCGAGCATTGCAGATGTTCCTAAAGATGTTACGTATGTGTTGTATCTATTTTTATACCATATGAAATCATTTAACAAAAAATATAAATTTAATACAAAAACATAAATTTCGATATATTTGGAATTGATTCGTCTTCAGTAGAAAATTTTAACAATAACAATCACAAAATTGTAAGAAATATAACTTATAATATTATTTTTGAAGTAAATTTTTTATTTAAGAAATA